ATCTTTTTTTCGCTTTGCCGCGCCACAGCAGGCGGCGAAGCGCTTCGCCCCCGCCCTTCTGCTCAGTTCGCTCGCGGCGCGAGTTGGGCACTGTCCAAGACCGCGCGGCTCTGCTCCTCTGCCACCCCCCATTTCCCCTCCCCTCCAACCGCCCCCCCTCCATCGCCGCTCCTGGTCCATCCCTCCAGCTGCCTTGACGCTTCGCCGCCGCTGCGCCGCTGCCCTTCTCCGCGAGGCTGCTGTCTTCGGGGTCCTCTCGCTTCGGGGGGACTGTCCCGCGGCGGGGCTGCGGCCGCGCGAGCGCCGTACCACTCCCGGCTTTTCTCTTGGGGGGGGTCCTTTCGACGCGCGCTCGCCTGGGCCTCCTCAATTGCCATGCTCTCGCTTCACAGTGACAGCCGCATTGTGCGTGCGGACGGCCACGATCCCCAGTAAGACGTACGTGCGCATGGCCGTGGCCACACCCCCGCTCCGGCAGCTCTCGCCCTTGTCCCGCCCCTTCACTTTTGCTGCTAACAGGGTGCTTCGTTGGGGAACTTTTTATTCTTAGTTGGCTTGAAGGTAGCGGAGGTGGATGATAGACGGGGGGGTTAGAACAGAGATGTTTCAAGCGTTATCTGTTTCAATCTTGGCGTGCTTCCCTTAATCTCGGCGTTGGGGGAGGCCGCTTCCGCGTCCCAAGGCCATCCCGCATATATCTTGGAAAAGAAGCACCACCCCAGGGAAGGAGTCCACAGCTGTGGGGCCATCGATTAAAATAATGACGCTGTCGGACGTCTGGAAGTACGGTCAGGAACTTTGGCTTAACGTGCCGCGCTTCCAGTTCTGCTACCACGCCTCGGCGCGGCACAGGGCATCCATGTCCCAGTCCCCAATCGTCAACGTCCCGAGCATTTCTCGACCTCCCGCCCCGCCGAGCGGAGCGACACGCCATCCGCTCGCAGGGCACAGCGTGTCGCCGGGGCTGCCGCCGCGACACGCGATAAGCAAAAGTTCCCGACCGCAGGCGAGAGGTGCAGAACATAGACATCTACAGGGTCCAGCTTGAATGAGGAACACTTACTTTCAAGAATGGGTTCGGTCGTTCCTTTTGTTTGCATGTTCTCCGCTATCCTTTTGGCGGCGAGCCCCCTTGGTGTTTCTTCGGACTTCGTAGACCACCTTTCCAAAACAAAGGCTTCGATCCTTACGTATCGTTCCTCAGGTCAGGCCGAATACTGTAGACATCTGGAGGATTGTCTGTTTCAATCCTGATGTGCTTTCCTCAAGCTCGGCGTCGGGAGGCCGTGCCATCACTACTGTACCCTGGACCAGAAAAATACCCCCAGGGAAGGGTCCACAGCTCAGAGAACACCGACTGCAAGACATGTTGTCGGACGTCTGCACCTTTTCGATAAAAAGGGTGGCAGTTCAGTTTTCCTGCACTCCCGATTACCCCCCCGCTTAATTGCCCCAGGTTAACTCCTACCCGATTTGACGAGGAGGAGGAGGAGACGAAGAATACGAATAATACGAAGCAGAAAAAGAACGAGGACAAGGAGGACGAGAAGGAGGACGAGGACGAGGACGAGGAGAACGAGGAGGAGGAGAAGGATGAGCAGCAGGAGGAGGAGGAGGAGGAGGAGCAGGAGAAGGAGGAGCAGCAGGAGGAGGAGAAAGAGGAGGAGGAGCGAGAGAGGAGGGAGGCTCGAGGAGCGAGGAGCGAGGAGCGAGGAGGGGCGGGGGATGGGAGGGAGGCAGAGCGCGTCTTGCTTCCTTCCCGTGGCCACGACGGGCTGCCGCTCGAAAGGCAGGTCAGGATGGTGCCTGGGAGGGATCCGAGGGCGATGGTAAGGCTTGCTGCTGCCCCGGATCCTAGCATGCCCAGGCGTCTGCAGTCGGGGGCGACAAAGAGGGGGGTGATGACTGGGGGGGCGACATCACATGGCGTGGGCCATGATATTTCTCCAGACTTCATGGCGCCTCTCATTATTTCATTACGTCCATGGCCCCCCCCCCTGGGCCGCGCACATGCTGCCGGCCATGATTTGCACCCCCCTTTTGAACGCCCCCCTCTTGGACGCCCCCGATGCAGAGGCCCTCGGAGGCCCAACGAGTGCCAACAGAGGTCCAAGTCGTCCGAAGACCTTCCAGAACCGCCCTCCTCGAACCTCCAGAGGGTGGGTGGGGGGGTGGGGGGGGGGGGGGGGGCAAACCGTGGCCTCTGGGACGGAGGGGGCCCCAGTCGTCCGGCGCCTCGCTCTTCTCGACGCGCTCCCCCGGGGCGCCTGCTGCTCATCCCGAGTCGCTTTCTGACGGCCCCGAGGCCCAAACTAGCCCAGGGCTGTACCTGGACGCTGTTTTGCTGGTCTTCGGCTGTGTCTGGTTTCTCGTTTCGGCAGGGAGGTACAGGAAAACTGGCAGGGCACAACGAACGGCAAAACGACCGACAAGACTGAATCAAAACGAAAATTCAGCCCCCCAGCGGCCAGAAGCTCGGTGACGGGCCTGCCGCCCCCGATCTCTGCGAGGGGCGCCGGAGGTCTGCCGGGGAAGAGGGCCGGTGGCGCGCGGCCAGGAACCGCAGAGCGGCCACTGCAGTTCTGCCGAGGTCGCGGTGACATCTTTTGGCAGATGCCCGCAGAACGGTGTCCGCGCCGTCCCGCTGGCCAGGAGGGCGCCGATCGGATATAGCCGGGACCCCAAGTAATTGAGGGGAGCCGTTTAGCGATGGGGCCCCAGAGACCCCCGCAACATACCCGAATCGCTGGACCAAGTCTGCCGTAGCTGACGTTCCTTCGTGCGACGGCAGTTCCGCCGAGTGGAACGAATGGGGCGGGATGGACGTCCCCAGATACACTTCACGAGACCCAGCACGGCCAACAACCTGGCCAGGGAAGCACGCCCGCCCGCGGATCGGGGAGGCGCCACCTCGTCGCCCGCGGCAGGCTTCCGCCCGCCCCCCTCGCGGGCTCGCGGGGCGGCCAAACCCAGCACGGCCAACGCCCGGGCCAGGGAAGCGCGCCCGCCCGCGGGTCGGGGAGGCGCCACCGTGTCGCCCACGGCCTGGAGTTGGACCGACCCGCCGACCAGCCGACCGAGGAGGAAGGGAGGGGAGGAGGAGGAGGAGGAGGAGGAGGAGGAGGAGGAGGAGGAGGAGGAGGAGGAGGAGGAGAGGAGGAGGAGGAGGAGGAGGACAGGCGCCCCTGCGTCGCCCGTGGCAGCTCTCCGCCCGACCCCTCGCGGGCGCGCGGGGCGGCGGGCACCGCCTTGCGCGGACCTCCCCGACCTGCGCCACCAGCGCGCCTGGGGAGCTCCTCCTCCGCGCCGCTCGCCTGGGCGCTCCTCGGGGGGACCGCACTGGCGGGCACTGGCCCCCGCACACCTCCCCCGCGCACCTCTGGCCTCTTGGTCCTCCTCCTCCTCCTCCTCCTCCTCCTCCTCCTCTTTCTCCTCCTCCTCCTCCTCCTCCTCCTCCTCCTCCTCTGCCGCGTTTCGAACACCCGCTCTCCATCCGTGAAGCTGTTGCAAACTTTCAGTACGAATGCGCGCGGCGCTGAGGCGAGAGCTACCTTTCGAAGACCGCCGCCTCAATCCGTGAAGCTGCTGCAACCTTTCAAGACGAATGTACGCGTCACAGCGAGAGCCACATTTTGAAGACCACTAGCCCGCCTTCCGTGAAGCTGTTGCGATTTTTCAGGACGAATGTGCGCGGCGCCAAGTCGAGTGCCACGTTTTGAAAACTACCCTCCCTCCAACCGGAAAACTGTTGCAAGTGTATGAGGAAATTGTGATCGGCGTTAAGGCAAGAACGAGCAGCCTTGTACAGACAACCCGCCCTCCATCCGTGACGTTGTTGCGAATGGTAGTCTTCAGGGTCCGAAGTGGCGAGAAAGTTTTAGGCGAATCGCCTGGCCCGCTCTGCGGACACGTCTGGGTGTGCGATGGAGGGGAGTCGTTTATAAGGAACAGGGATGGAGGAAGGGGGGAAGAGGAGGAGGTAGAGGACCACTGTAAACCCAACCCCCATCAACGATACTGCAATAAACCCTTCCCCCAAGTTCCCTCTTCATGGGCTTCCACACGGATTCATAGTCACTGAGGGAAATGCCCCGTTGGGAGACAGCCAGTTGACAATCCCGAAATGTGCCAGGACATCATTCCTGGGCCTTCAACGCCGCGAATCACCGTTTTCGTAGCGTCTTCACGGTCCTGAATCGTGCCAGAACGCCATTCTTGGAACTTGAGCACCAGGAATCAACGTGACTGCTGCGCCCTGACACTCCGACATCGTTCCCAAGCCCCATTTCTGGAACGTTAACCACGAGAGTCCTTGAAATTGATAGAAATTCTGAAGACGAATGTGCGCGGCACTAAGGCGAGAGCCACATCTTGAACGGGAGCCGCCTTCCATCCGTAAAGCTCTTACAAGCGTTTAAAACGACTGTGCGCGGCGCTGAGGCGAGAGCCACGTTAAAAAACGAGCCGCCCTCCATCCGTGAAGCAATTACAAACGTTTAAAACGAATGCGCGTGGCGCTGAGGCGAGAGCCACGTTTTGAAAGCGAACCGCCCTCCATCCGTGAAGCCCTTGCAAGTTTCAATCTTCAGGACCATGGATTGTGAGGGCGTCTCAATCGAAACGCCCAGTCCGCCCTTTTGACCGGCCTCGGGTTCCGACAGGGAGGAGTTACCTATAAGGATAAGGGGTGGAGGAGGAGGCGGAGGAGGAGGAGGAGGAGAGGAGGAGGAGAAGGAGGAGGAGGAGGAAGAGGAGGAGGAGGGGGGGAAGGAGGAGAAGGAGGAGGAGGAGGAGAAGGAGGAGGGGAGGAGGAGGAGCAGGAGCAGGAGCAGGAGCAGGAGGGGGAGGATGATGTGGAGGGAGGAGGAGGAGGAGGAGGAGGAGGAGGAGGAGGAGGAGGAGGAGGAGGAGGAGGAGGAGTAGGAGGAGGAGGAGGAGGAGGAGGAGCTGTCCTGAGCAGCCGTCTCTTCGGCGCCCCCGTGCCGCGCGCGCGCCCGCAGGCCGCCTACGAGCTGCACTGGCACGAGAAGGAGCAGGCAGTCGAAGAGAGAAAAGCTGCATAAACGTACGGTAGGGGGTGCTTATTATTAGAGTGGATCTTATGCCTTCTGATAAACATAAGCTTTCGGATCTCCGCGCGGATTGCTCGGATCGGCACCTGGGCCCCCCTCGGCGGCGCCTCCGGCGCCTTCCTTGGCTCGCTCCGCGAGCCATGGAGGGGGGTCCAGCGCCGATCCAAGAGGTCCGTGCGAGCCTCCAACAGTTTACGTTTACGGTTGGGATTTTTGGCTTTGCGTGTCGCGCCGCCAGTTCTGGCCCACCGCGCCTCGGCGCGATACGCTGACCATTTCCCAGTCCCCAAGCGTCAACGCCCCGAGCCGTTCCCAGCCTCCCGCCCCGGAGAGCGGAGCGACAGGCTATCCGCTCGCAGGACATAGCGTGTCGCCGAGGCCGCCGCCGCGACTCGCGAAGCAAACGTTTCCGATCCAGATCCCGACGCCATGACTTTTCACAGCGTGGACCTCTGGAGGTCTCGACCCCTTCCCCTGGACCCGCCTTTCATCCCGCGCAGGTCTGTGACGGTCCTCGAGTCCGGCGAGGGCCCCAGGAGGCCGAGGACAGAACCACACACCAAAGACGATTCGTTGTGTCTTTTTTTTCGCGGCGCGAGGGGGGGGTCTGCGGGTGGACCGTATGCCGCTTCTTCAGGGTCCATTTCGATCCGATCGCTCCGATCCGAGATCGGCTCCGGCCAGCTCGATCCGATCCGAGTGTATATTCTTCAGGAGGGAAAAAACACACAGACACAATGAATCGTCGATTCCCAATAAAATATGGGAAAATCTGGGAAGTGGGGGGGAAGATAGCAACCCAGAAAATATGGGAAAATATGGTGAATCTGTTTATTTGTGTGTATTCATTTGCCCCTTTAATTCTGGCGATCCGATGCGGCCCGATGCTCGCACGGCGCTGTTGCGCAGCCCGGCGCAGCCGATCCCATTCGACCTCGGCTCCGTGCCGCCCGATCCGACCCAGACCCCCGACTCGGCGGCGAGCGAGGGGGGAAGCGAGAAGGATACTACAGATTTCGTAATAAAAGGGAGGGGGTCTGGACCCTCCAAGACAAGCCATTTCAGACCTCCCCCGTGGGAGAACCCTCCAAAACATCGGTCCCAGACCCCCCAGGCCCTCCAAGATAGCCTGGAAGAGACCCCCCCCCGAAATGAGACCCCTCTCCCTTTATTACGAAATCTGGAGTAAGGTCTTCTCAGAAGGCTCGGAAGTCGCCTGGCCTTCCGAGAATCTGCTTGAGCCTCCCTTGAAGACACGAAGACCTCTCAGAAGGCCGGGGGCCTTCTGAGATTCCCCGCCGCCTTCTGAGAAGGCCTTCTCCTTCTCGCTTCCCCCCTCGCTCACCGCCAACCGACGTCATGCTTTGTTCACAACGTCGACCCCGAAGTTCTCGACCAGTCCCCAGGTCCCAGTTTTGTCCTTCCGAGCTGTTTTTTGGACGGCTCGAGGTCTGGCAAGGGCCCCCAGAGTCAGGTCGGGCATGTCCTCTGACAGGAGGATTTTGGGATAAGAATAAGACATACTCAAGCAGTTGTCAACAAAACTAACAATAGCGAAGACACATGAAATCGTCACCCTATTATCTTTGAGCTATTCTTGAATAGTCCTCCTGTATATGGGGCATGCCCGACTCAGCCCCAGAGGTCGAACACAGCGAGAAACCGCCCGCCGGGTTTTTTCAATGACCCAAGGGGGGGGGGGTCCGACGCACCTTCTGTCCGAGTTGGGCAGAACCCCCACCCTGACACGTCGATTAGTGAATTGTCCGATTTCTTTTCTCGAGAGGGCGCCGCGGCCGTCATTTTCCAGGCTTACGCCCGCCAGGTTTGGGCCCGAGGTCGTTTTCATTGAACCACGCTTTACTAAAGGGAGCTCTGCCCATCCCCAATTCAGACTCGGTCCGACCTCCCGATTCCATGCTGACGGATCCTGCTTGTCTTAAGTCGGGCTTGTCCCTCTACAGGGGACATGCTCAAAAATATTCCGAAAATAGTCAGGGGACGTTTTTTTTGACTATGTTTGCCTATTTCTTGTTTTTTGTCAGTCAGTCAAGCCTGGCGCACAGACGACGCATTGGCAAAATAAATAGTGATGCGTGTGACCGGAAACACCAGCAATAGCCCCAGGCTCGGACTGGGCAGAGAAATGCAGGCAGTGAGAACGATACGAGTTCACCAGCAAACGTATCGGCGCCACGCGGGGGGGAGGGGGAGGAGAGGAGAGGGGTAACAGAAGCGCCACACTTAAAGCGAAGGTGTAGGCAGAAGGCTATACACGCAAGGGGCTCACTGCTGTTTAGGCCTTCCCCTGCGTCGCCAGTGCGCCCATCTTCTGGGCAGGTCGGTGCCAGGCTGGCATGTTAAAAGTCTGAAAGGTTCGGCTCCGGGCAACGCTGCAATTTTCTTGTGTAGCGCCGTTTGGCGCCAGCGAAGTGTGGAGCTCAGTGGGTGTTCCCCCGCTCGCTCCCAAACCTTTTTATCAGACACTCGTGAAACATATGCGCTTGGAAGTCTTAGAACTAGTCATTAAAAATTGCGTGTGGAAGCTGTCTGAACGGTCTTTGTCTGCCTGCAGCAGCCAAAGCGTTTCCAAAGTGTACAACAACTTCGGCAAAACGATCGTTTTGTACACTTATATTTGTCTGGCGCGGCTGATGTTGGCGTGAGACCAATATTGATACAATTTCTGAAAGGCGGATTTGGCCTTACCGATTCTCCTGGTCACTTCTGGCTTTACTATGCCATTGACGTTCAACAGGCCACCAAGATACATTGCTTGCTCCACCGCTGTCAGCGGGGCACCAGTATGGGAGACAATCGCGCCATAATTGTGCACGCTCATGCATTACAGTCTTGCCCCAATCCAATTCCAGACCGTACCTCTTGCCTTCGTCGACTACAATGTCGAGTCACGTCTGTCATTTCCCGGAGCTGCTGCTTATGAGCATGCTATTTTCGGGGAATTAGATTGTTTCGCCCAAACTCTGCCTATAGAGCTGAGGCCAAAGCACGTCGACACAGACGGGTGGCACACCAGACTGGCCAGCTCTCTTTCCATTCTTACTCTGCGAGTTGACCCGGGCCCTCGCTTCTGTACAGGCCCCAGGCTCCTCAAAACAGAGTTTTTCTCAGAGTTGAGCACGTCTTCACGACACTGCCGTCGTCCGCCGCCGCCGCCGCCCCCGTTTTTTTCGCACATGCCCGACTAGATTCAGGGGGGAAAGAAACACACAGACACAATGAATCGTCGATTCCCCAGAAAATATGGGAAAATATGGGAAGTGGGGGGGAAGACAAAAACCCAGAACATATGGGAAACTATGGGGAATCTGTTTTATTTGCGTGTATTTACTTGTGTGTCTGTGGGCCCCTTCAAAGCTTCGAGGCTCGTCTCGATCCCGTCCGATTCCATCGATCTGATGCTGACCGGTCCTGCCCCCGGGGGGAGCCCGTGGCTCGGCGAGGGCCACGAGATTGTGCCCGTGTGGCGGGCCGTCCTCGGGCCTCCTCTTCTCTCCCTGGGGGGCCCGGCATCGCTCGGACGTGTGCATTTTTTCTCGGCGAGAACCATCGATGACGATGCTGGACCATCGGGCCCCTTCATTGATGCCCCTCTTCCCTCCCAGGCACGGCTCGCCGCGGGCTCCGGCGCCGGCGCGGGCGCCGCGCGGGCCTCGGCGGCGGCGGGGCGAGGCCGGCGTCCGCCCGCGCCGCCCGCGCCGCCCTTCGCCCCGCGTGCGGGCACCGGCGTCGGGGGCGGTGCGGTGTTGTGCGTTTCGCAGGAGGGGAAGAAACACACAGACACAATTCATCGTCGATCCCCCAGGAGATATGGGGAAAATATGGGAAGTGTGGGGGGGAAGACAGAAACCCAGACAATATGGGAATATATATGGGGAATCGTTCTATTTGTGTGTATTTGTTTGTGTGTCCTGGGGCCCCTTCAGTTTCCTGCGGTGGCGAGGATCGGTGGTCCTCAGGTGTTACTTCCTTTCCTTCGGGTGTCACTTCCTTGACTTCCTCAGGTGACACTTCCTTTCCTTCAGGTGTTACTTCCTTGACTTCCTCAGGGTTCCTTCCTTTCCTTCAGGTGTTAGTTCCTTTACTTCCTCAGGGTTGCTTCCTGTCCTTCGATGGTCTCCTGTCCTTCGGTGTTGGGCCAATGTGTGTGTGTGTGCTTACCCCCACTTCAGCCCAGCCAGCAGAGCAGTAACTGCATCGCCTGCGTCGCACCGAAGGGCCTCGACGGGCAAACACACGCGGGGGCCAACGCACGTTCTGGGGATTATCGAAAAGAGAGCGTTTTTTATTGAATCGCTTCGCTCATTCCGCCGGCCCTCGACCGTTCTATGGGGCCTCTTTGAAGCCTCTTGGGGGCTTCTTTGGGGCCTCCTAGGGGCCTCTTGGGGGCCTCTGGGGGGTCTCTTGGGGCTCCTTGGCGGCGTCTTGGGGTCCCCTTGGGCCTCTTGGGGGAGCTGGGTGAAAGCTGGGGAACGCTGAGAAAGCGAACAAGGCTGGGAAAGAGAAGCTGAGGAAAGCTGAAAGCCGGGAAAGCTGGACAACCTGGAAATCTGGAAAGCTGGCAAGCGCGGAAGGCGGGGGACAGCGGGGAAAGCAGTGAAAGTTGGAGAGCAGGGCAGGGTGGGAAAGTGTGAATGCGGGGAAAGCTTGGAAAGCCGGGAAGGTTGGGAAAGCGTGAAAGTTGGGAAAGCGGGGTAAGGTGGGAAAGCGGAGGAAAGCGGGAAACTCGGGGAAAGTTTGGAAATTTCGAAAGCTGGGAAGCGGGAAAGCGGGGAAGGTGGGAAAGTTGAGAAAGCAGTGAACGTTGGGAAAGATGGGAAAGCCGAGAAAGCGAGAAAGCAGGAATGTTGGAAAGTGGGACAGCTTGGAAGGCTAACAGAGCTGGAAAGCAGGGAAAGTTTGAAAAGTTGGGGAAGCTAGGAAAGCTGGGAAAGCTTGGAAAGCGGGGAAAGCGAAGAAAGCTCGGAAAGCCAGGACAGCGGGGAAATCGAAGAAAGTTGGGAAAGCTGGAGGTAGGGAGACAGGAGGAGGAGGAGGAGGAGGAGAAGGAGGAGGAGAGCCCCACAGACAGGTCACCAGTCCAGAAAGTGGACCAAGGGCAGCAACAATGGCGTCGAGGAAGCCCCGAGAGCCTTTCGACGACACGCGGTTTGGCCGATGCCCGATGGCCGCAGACGGCCTAAGAGGCCTTCGACATCGCTCGAAAGCAGCTCACGAGTCCCTCCAGAGGACCCCCAGAACGCCCAAGAGGGCCCGAAGACGGTCCAGGAGGCCGCCCAAAACGCCCAAGAAGCCACCTGGAGAGCCTCAACAGAGGTTCGAAAAAGCCCGAGACCGCCAGCCAGCCCTCACGAGGCCCCCTAGCCCCCGAGACGCCGTCGAGTAGCCCTAAGACGCCCCTGATCGATCGACCGCACGCGTAAGAGTGATCCTTCGCTGGAGTGACCTCTGGTGCGCGGCTTCAGGCGGGCGCAGGCGGGCCAGATTCGAGCACGCGTGCCGCTTTGGTGGGGCTGGGGGAGCCCACTGAAGCCGCACACTGGAGGCCACCCTTGCCCGGGATCCTCTTGCGTTTAGCCGACCCGAGGGTCCAGAGCCTCTCGAAGCCATCGCGTCCACGTCCTAGACCATGTTCCTAGAGTGCCTTCCGGGAACCTCGATGTCCATGTTCCCGACAGCCTTTCCAAAGCAATGCACATCGATGTTTCTAGACGCTTTCCACATCGCGAGATTCGTCCGACAATAGATCCGAATCCCTAGGAAACTCCGAGCGCTAAGATCGCCCAAAGGCTGCGCGGTTCACGCGGTGTCGGGGAACTTGCCGCGGCCAAGGGCGCTGAAACCATGGTCCGTAGCCATTTTGGCTCAAGACAGTGTTGCACGCCTCGTAGGAAGCTTTTGCGGAAAACCAAGGGTTCTTGGCCGCACCCTAGCAGAAGGGCGAAATCTGACGGAGAACATCATCATGACTCAAACCAGTTGGCTCAAGGCCACTTGGAGAACATCTTCCTGGAAGATGCGTGCGCTCTCCATGTTAGCTGCAACGTGGCCACATGTTACCGATTGTAGCAATCAGTGTGTATCGCCCTCGGCGATTGGCTGCTTCGTCGACCCGTACCAAACGCCAGATGGAGAACGACGTGTTTTAAAGTATCTCGCTGCTTCCAATGATAATAATATGAGTCAAGAGCGTTGCATATATTTGTGTTGCTTAGCTGGGTTCGGAGCTGGATCTCTTGCTGGCTTGGAGAACGGAGGCAATTGCTATTGCGACCACGGCTTTGGTCCTTACACGATCCCCCAGGATAAGAATCCACAGTGCACACGTGCAGAACCATGTACTGGTGATGCAACCGAACGTTGTGGGAGCAATAATCGGATTCATGTGCTCGGGATAGCCGCATGTCCATCGCGTCATGCGACCAACACGGGCACTTCTTCTTTAGGACCACCTTTGCAGAAATGCGGTGCGTCCGGTTGCACACAATGTCCAGAAGGAGATACGTGCTGCATCGGAAAGAGCCCTGATGCCTACAAGGTGCCTGGTGGGTATGGTTGCGCCCCTCCGAACTCAACATCTTACCCTGGTTGTGCAGGTGTCGGTAAAGTTTCAGGCGGGTGCTGCTGTGGGCCAGGACCATCTACAATCAGCTCTGCTATGCCAAATGTTTTGATCATTGGAGACAGCGTTAGTGCTGGGTACATCATGAACGTGCGGGCTTCTCTGGTCGGCAAGGCAAATGTGCAGCATGGTCCTGATAACGCTGGCGGAGGAAACGCGGACGGCGTTCAATACGGGCAACTATGCACAAAGTATTTCCTCCGTACTCCACGCCATGTCTTGCCAGCATGGGATGTCATCACTTTCAACTTTGGTCTTCACGATGGCGCAGACGACAATATCACGTATCAGAACGGGTTGAGCGAAATTGCAGACACGATTCTGGCCGCTGCCAAGGTACCCTTACTGCAGCGAAGGCAACCAGCCACTGTACTTTATTTCTTGACGACCATGCCTGGCGGTAGCCGCTCGGTGCCTGGTGCTCTAAGCCCATCTGAGAAACGAGTCCTCGAGCTCAACGAGATTGCGACCACGATCATGGCGGAAAGGAATGTCACCGTTGTCGATTTGCACAAAACCATGCAAGAATGTGGCAAACTCTGCGAGCGTTGCAAACCTCATTGTCCTCCCGAAGGCTACAAGTACTTGTCGGATCATGCAATTGTGCCGGCCATTTCGAAAGCTTTGCCAGACCTTGTTGCCGCTGTCGTGGTATGAACCCTCGAGCTTACAGCGAACGTGTGAGCCATGTCGAGGCCATTACCTTTTGAGATTTACCGAGGGTGGAATGTCCTAGCGGCCAGCTGGCGCAAGACAACGGGGCATAAGCAACGGACGGTGAAACCACGGCGTTGCCTGCAGCACCGCTGCCCACGGCCGCGGGGTGGAACACAAGAGGGCCCCAAGAGGGGCCCCCGGGAGGCCGAGACCAGCCCGCCCCCAAAGGGAGGAGGAGGAGGAGGTGGAGGAGGAGGAGGAGGAGGTGGAGAGAGGAGGAGGAGGAGGAGGAGGTGGAGGAGGAGGAGGAGGAGTGAGGAGGAGGAGGAGGAGGAGGAGGAGGAGGAGGAGGAGGAGGAGGAGGAGGAGGTGGAGGGGAGGAGGGTGTAGGCCCAGGAGGCCGAGACCAGGACCCCAAGAGGCCCCGAGAGGCCCCCCTGGCGCAGGGCGATATCCCGTCATCGGCAGCTGCGGCAGTGAGGCCCTCCGATTCGTTACCGCGCGCGCCGCCTCCTCTCTCCCTCCTCCTCCTCCTCCTCCTCCTCCTCCTCCTCCTCCTCCTCCTCCTCCTCCTCCTCCCTCCTCCCCCTCCTCCTCCTCCTCCTCCTCCTCCTCCTCCTCCTCCTCCTCCTCCTCCTCCTCCTCCTCCTCCTCCGCCTCCTCCTCCTCCTCCCCCTCTCCTCCTCCTCCTCCTCCTCCTCCTCCTCCTCCCTCCTCCTCCTCCTCCTCCCTCCCCTTGCCAGGCGCTTCTCCAGCACCCTCACGCGTTTCGGTCGCGTTCCTTCCAGATTTCACTGCACAGAGCGTGATTGTGTTCTCCTGCTTCTCCTTGTGCGCGTTGTGTCCGCCGCTCCTCCATGGGTGCGGGGGGGGAGTCCACGAAACTAACCTGGGTCCACTCGTGGGGGAGGCATGGAACTCTAGAAAACGTATGGGGGGCGCCGTTTGTGTGAGGATGCCCCTGGCCATGGGTTGTCCGACAATCGTCCACTCTGCCCAGCGGTACCCTAGTCGGCGCCGCCACTTCGGGCGGGGGAAGTGATCTCTCGCCATGAAGGTGGAAAAGGAGGAGGGAGGTCGGAGGGGAGCGAGGAGGAGTAGGAGGATGAGGATAAGTATGACGATGAGGAGGAGGAGGAGGAGGAGGAGGAGGAGGAGGAAGGGAGGGGATGAGGAGGATTGGGAAGGAAGGCAGGGAGGATGCAGCAGGAGGCAAAGAAGGAGTAGGAGGAGGAGCAGCAGGAGGGAGGAGGGGGGGAAGTGGAGGATGAGGAGGAAGACGGCGAGAATGCCTCAGAATACGAACCCGTGGCTTTCAACTTTTATTGCGTGTATGGAAACAGAATGGATCTCTGATATTCGCGTTGAAGAAGACTTGATGGGCGGCCAGCAA